GAACTACATTGGTAAACAACTTATAGTCTACAAATTTATTTTAACAGTAGCATATGTGTATTGTTTTTAACATAAGTTAGTAACCAAAGTTTCAGTATAGTGAAACTTATTGAAAACTGTAGTTGTGTTGTTTTACATCTATACCATTATTCCAGAAGAAAAATAAAAGTAGAGCATAATAATAACCAATTTAAAAGTTGTAACTAAGAAAATTTCAGTGTTCTAATTTACTATTATTCTTATAACTTAACAAGTAATCTTTATTTCGAATACTAATAATTCTTAAGGAAATGAACATAATGTCATAAATTATAGTGAAATGATAATTTCACTGAAATTAGAAAACAATTATTACTTCAAACAAAATGCTAATAGATGATCAATGTACATTGATGATTGATATCTATCATTAAGATTATTGTAATTTCTTACAGTACATTTTGTTTATAAAAGGTAATGACTAAATTTTTCTTCTGTAGTCATATGATTGTATCACTAAAATCGATGTACAATTACTGAACAATTTACTGCTATATTTTTTACTTACTTCCTAATTGCTCTAAATTATAAATGTGATATGAATATTATCATAAATGTACTTCTGTCATTACTTTTAAGGTAAAAAAAGCCTTAATGTACGAATTTATTACTAGTAAACTAATTATAACTAGTGATCACATGTGAAGGTCTCATGTTGACCTTGAACTTTTTCCCACATGAAGCAACTATAAGATTAGCATTTTTAAGTACTTTAATAAACTAAAAACAGTAACTTAAAAAGCTACTTGTTTCAAGAAGAATAAAATCATTGTAAATATTAATGATGAATTTGAAATATTTGGCTGCCGAATAAAATATACACGGCTAATCTTACATTGTATAGTTTAAACTACTAAACCATCAGTTTGAGGTTTTTGGAAATTGTTGGATTTTATTGAAATCATGAACCGTCCAATGTTAGATCACTATGGAGAACCTGAAAGCACTGGATGGCCGTTTTGCCCTATTATGGGACTCTTCAGTAATGTGTACTCACGATATCGCATGTGGGATTCGAACCCAGCACCTCTACAGCACTGGGTTGGGATCTAACGGTGTCAGTGTCTAACTTCAACCAATCCGCGATGTAGCGCGACCATCTTATGCTTTTACCAATTGTATGTGTTATTTGTCACTATAATTTGTGGGTTGACTAATTTGTGAATTGACTAAGCTTGTTACATTTAAATAATGCAATGAGAAAACGAAGTTTATCAGAACTATTTGTTGAATTAACTCACTACATATAAAACAAACTGGTCACCCTGTCATTAAATATTCATTTTTTCTGCTGAATAAAAAAGGAAAATAAGATCATTTTTGCTGACTCGGCCCAATGTCCAAAACTTTTTAAACCATTAAATTTCATATTAATTCGGATATCTGAAATGATCATGTATTTACTTTTCAAGACGTTTCTATATGAAAAATAAACGATTAAACTACACAAATTCTAAAATAAGAAAAAACAAAGAGATTAAGGAAAAGATTATACGTAACACAATTCTCTGGCTAACAATTTAATATTTCACATAAAAGTGTTTTCAGTTTAGATTAGAACTAGAGCTTCAGTACATCTCAGTATTCACCTCTAAACGCTTAGATTCAACATAACGAAGCTGATTTGATATCAACTCTATGCCCCGTATAAACTAGGTGTTTAGGAATAGAGAAATGTACTCAATTATCCAAAGCTCTTATCAGGCAAATACAATTGATTAAATTTTATATCCACTTATGCATGACTTTTAAAATACAGCTTCATGATGATTGGGATTCATTGGAATCTTTACACTGCTACCTGTAGTATCTAAAATTCGCATTATGATGGAATGGATTGTTTCATATCTTTTTACTCGTTAGTTTTTAATATCTAAACAACTTAAGTTAGATTTAAGGACTATATGGTTCAAATTTCTAAACTATCATAGTTTGCAGTTACGTTTTATACTGAAAACCTACGTGATGTAATGACATAACTGCATCTCGATATAAGACGTTTTAAGAAATCCAAAACTCACCATGAAAACGGTGAATATTGTCTAAATAAACATAAGCATAACACGAACAATGATGATACTTATTTATTTGTATATATTTTTATTATACAAAGTTTATTTCAGTGATTTTACTCAAGAATTTATGAAAAAAAGCAGATTTAAGGAGGGTGAACAAAGTTACAATGAATATAATCTTTTAGTCATGTTTAATAGTTCAATCTTTTAACAAGAAAATATCGCCATAAAATTCCATGTTAACTGAAGACACCTTACATCATAGACTGATATCATCGGAAGTCTATTAGCAGTATATATTACTATGTGATAAAAAAATATTAAACTTAAAGGAAAATGGCGAGACTATAATTTATGGATGAACCAATCAGACATAAAATAACAAGTCCCGAATTTTAGCGCGAAATTCATCCATACATTTGGTCAAATAAAATTTTGGCATTATAGCTGATGTTAGTTCGTCATGAAGACCCTAAATCTAATTTCTAACCCTAACCATCAACTGTAAATGAGAATTGTAACTGCTTTATAACCCTCCATTAAGTCCGAAATAACTAAACTGACAGTTAATGTTATAAATTTCAAGCAAATTCAATGTTAATGAAGCACTAAACAGATAAGAAAGAGAATAAATTGGATCTTCATAAACAAATAACTTTAAAAATATTCAAAAATAAAGTATTTGAACTGGATCTTTTTTTCACTACGTTATTCTGATAAAACATGTATCAGCAATCTTTTGTATATTTTTTTGTAGTTGTCTAGAATTCAAGCAAAAAAAAACAATACAATCCATTGCATATATAATACCTTCTTTGGTTATCGACCAACATCAGTGTGAATAATGAAATTTGTTTACAATATTATTTTTTTCCTTATTTTTTTTTATTAACTCCACAATATAAAAGTTTTGGGGCAGATTAGAAACTTATCCAGATTTTATGTTTATTGCTATTTGTATATGAAACTAACACTATGATTACTACAGTAATCTTCAGTACTATACTGTTGTTAGATTCCATTTACACACAAAATACAAATGAATTATAAAATTTTTATGATTAAAAACCAATAGACAAATAGTTTATTCATAAAAAAAAGAATCAGAGGTAAAATTCTTGAGGAACCAAAATACAAACACGACATGTCTTGCAGTGCATTCATATTTTGAATTTTACATAAAGTAAACTTTTATCATATTTTATTAACATATTCCATGGGTTTCTTTTAGACAGAAGTTATGATATATAATAGATCTGGTTTGATGATAAAAATTCTTAAAATTGGTATATTGTAATGAATGTTTGTCATAGATTGGCATAATTTGAAGAATTATTAATAAAGTAAAGAAACGCCATGGATTTTAGTAGTTTTCCAGTTAAAGGATGTTAGAACCAGCCAATAATTTTTAACTCAGGTACGATTTAAAAGAATAAACCATAAGATTTACAAACTCAGTATATATCAAGTATTTCAATCAGTTATATAAAAGTTTCGCCAATTCAACAAAATCTTTCAATTAATACCCATGTAAAGTGTGTTATTACTGTGTAACTATCCGTATTGTTCGTGGCTCCAAATATCTCTAATAAAAAAATCATTGGTGACAACTTAGAAGAGATTTTGATCAGGTTAACCAATAGAGTAGGTTATTCACACAAACAGTTTTGAGTGACTATTGAAATGAAATCAAAAAACACTGTTAGACATCCCAATTCTAGTTTAGGAGTTCATAACAGTGGAAACCTATAAACTTAAAAGTCATAGCAGCCGGTGCATTACTTACAGATAAGTAAGTTCAAATATAATGGTTAAGATTTCTTACACCAATTAATTTACCAAATAACGCATTTATCTTCGTTAGTAATTGCTGAATCAGTTCAAATATGATAAGTCTTTCGTTCAAGATTTCTCAATAGAACTTCAGTAACGAATTACAATAGTTGTCCAATGTCTTTTGATTTCTAGTAGTTCCCGAGTTTTGACATTAAACTACTTTTCATAACTTAATAAACTAAATAAGATAATGCGTTTTTGTAATCGGTTGTTTGAACAGCAGCAATTTATTAAAAAACTATCTAGTAATTATTGAATAAGTTAACAAAAGGGATATTTACTGTCAGATAAACAAACTTTCAGAACATGATAATAACTGAAATGGTACACAACAAGGTAATGATTAGAAAAAAGAGAAAAGTATGATATCTTACCGAAACTTTAAAACAATACATTCTTTAAATACTAATTCCGTATATCATAACTACTTATTGGGATAGATAATCAATAGTCTAGAACTTAGAAATCCTACTTAATTTATCAGTCTGCTTTTCTTTCCCATAAACTCTAATCCTTATTGATATAGCTTATATTATATAAGTTAACTGATATTAGGGCGATGTTGTAATTTTCTTGTTAAAGGTCAAGTGTTGTTGTTTTTCTTTGAACACAATTCCAAATTATTTATTCATTGTAAAAAAACGGACAGAATTTCAAATCACATTGTTACTTGATACCCAATAATGTGAAAGCTAAGTAAAACTTCATATATAACGTACAGTTTAATGGAGCATGTTTAATTGATATATATATTAACTGTATATAACACACGCTAATAATAATTATACTAATCTAGATTATAGTGTCTGTTTAGTTTATCCCACAGAGTGGAGTCTACTTACTTATCACTAACAATAAAAATAATTGGTGTTATGAAATTATTTTAATAATATTTCGATTTACATTAAATTATCACTAACACTGGCTTTCTCTTCATTTCAATTTTTGATGTTATGCCTGATATATGGGTTTGTTATAACTATGAGTGTCGTGCTAACTAACAATTTACAAAAATAAAATAGTCAGTTAAAACTAATCTTGTCACAAAAAATCATCTTTTGAAAAATAAATGAATAGATCAATGATTTCCCACCCCCACCCCTTTTATAGAGTTCAAATAACATTTATCCACCGCCGATGGATTGGGTACCAAGACGTCGAAGTTTAAGCGGAACACCATTTAGAACTAGCTGTTATCCAATGATTTATTATTCTTCAACACAACTTCCCAGAAGAAGATCACTTTGTGTTCCACGGCGTCGTTATTCACTTTCCACTCAGCGAAATGCCTATACTGAACCTAATAAAGTCACTTTGGTTGGTAAATCCATGTCCAACTATTCTCGTCCATATTCGTTATATAACAGCGCAGGCAGTAGTTTATACCAAACTCCAGAATCAAACGGTTATTATCGTCCTCATTTGAGATCAACGATCTGGCGTGATCATGAAGTCAACAGGCCTATGAACAACGAAATTTTACCAACATCATACTTACATGCTAGTTCACCGCCAAAACAACATATTTTATCTCCGGTATTTCGACAGTTTTTATTTTATTTTCAAAGTTTAATATTATAAGTTAATATCTAAGTTCCTCCTTCATTACTGACAAAATTGTTTGTTCTAATTAAAATTGAAATTCAACTTAAATATTTAAAATTTCCAACAGAAGAATAAAGAAATGACATATTTTATAATCATTATAAGAATGTTCGAAGATTGAATAAGATCTGAATGAATTGAAAATTTCAATGAGTAGATTTGTGTTTATTGAATAGTGGCACATATCATCATTAATATTATAAAACTCAGAAGATGAACCATTATTAGTTCGAATCATAAAGAAGATACTCGGTTTTTAATTCAAAACAATAAAAAAACAGGAATTATCTCAAACTTTATAATGTAAACTTATGAAATCTCAGTTCATTGGGATCATAAGTAGTGGTAACAATGAATAGCGCTTATTCATAAACTCTGATAAAGATGTGAGGGTAACATTGAAAGCAGTTATTCGGATTTTAGTTTACAAGTAAATTAGCAATAAAATTTCATATATTAACTATTATTTAAAATAGTAATTAACATTGAATTAGTTGAGACAACAGTTTAAGCTAATGAGAAAATACATTGTCGCTGTTAACCAGAATGCAATGACATTCATAGCTAATATTATTTATCACACAATATTACTATAGATTTGCTTTGTTCACCACCAAAAGTTTATTGAGAAGAGCAAATTATCTGTAAAATAAGATATTTACTTTTATAAATCGATGCAACTGAACTACAAAATATAGTAGGATGTGTTTTTCATGCGAACCAGATTTAAACTCATTATTCTGTGATAATACATTAGATATATCCAGTTTTAAATTATTAGGGTACTTGGTGTCAAATCTAAGTAGTATGGAATGTTGAGTCATTAACCGGTTATCTATTTTATGACCAAGAAAAGACATCAATGGAACTATTCACTGTTCTAACACTCACACAATCCTTGATTATACATACTAGAAAAGAACATTTAATGACTCTTATAATACTATTTTTACATCAACATGGAACTCCAATAAATGCATCTGTCATATTCCTTTCTATAAATGTATCTATTATTTTCATCTTTCCTAACATTTCTTTTCGGAGCAGAAAGCTAAAGTCTATCTGAAGTATCGATCCCTTCAAAATTTAAGTAATCTATACGATGGTGAAGATGCTGTGAGTCGAGTGTTAAAATAACATTTAATTTTTAAAGAAAAACACACATACATCTAGAACCAATGCAACATACTTCATCATCCACAGTGTTTTATTTGATTTCGGTCATGTTATTTTTTTCATTACGCTTCAATTGTTATGGTGATGATGATGAGGAGGAGGAGGACAAAATAAAATAAACATGAAATTTTAATGTATGAAATCAACATTTTTGCAAAGCATTCAAATGCATGTGTGTATTTTCTCTTTTTCTTTCTTTTAAACTGTTTGCGCTTTTTGTGCATTAATTAATAAAATAATAAAATAAAAAGCAAGAAAATATTCCAAGGAAATTAAATTGATTTTTATTTTCATCCAAACTGTTTTATTGTTGAAAGACTTTTGTTTTGTTTGTTTCGTTTGTTTTCTTTTTCATTTTATTCTCAAATGAAAATTGTGATAATTAGTTACTACCTTTTTTTCCTGGTTACTCAGCTAACATAATTTAAATGATGCATTTTAATAATCATTAGCCATAGAAACTATTTTCTTTTGTGTAAATGTCTGTGATGAAAATATGTATGATAATTATGTTAATCAATGTGCATATTACATAATTTATGCTTGTTTTAAGATTAGCAATAAAAAACGGATTTTCTTCAATAATAAGTTCATTTATTCACAAAGTTTCATTTGATATTAGTTCATATATTCAATTCATTTCTTGTTCTAATTGTTGATAGTTAAACATAATTTCTTTTTTTCTAAAAGTTGTTTTCTATTTAAAACAATTAGCAATCTTCATTGTTTTCTATTACAAATTTATGATAGTCTTATGGAATGTTGACTAATTTTTATGTTCAGAATGAAATAGAGCTTAATAACTAGATGCTTTGCTTAGAAAATGTTCTTTTGTGGCTGTTTAGGAATAACAATTATTTTTTGTCATATTTCTTGTATAAAAAAGATTATGATAATGAAGAATAAATAGAATCTATTTAATATTCTTATTAAATAACAATACTAATTGTTTTATGTATCAGTGTATGATGTAATATATACAGTGAATATTGATGAAACATAAAACTACTTTCGTTATATAAAAAGAAATTAATTTAATCAATCAATTTAATTATGTGTAGTAATCACTTCTATTTAGCTGAATATTATTAGTTTTTATATTCAGTAGAGATAATTAACAGGTTACTGTAATGATAATAAATTAGGTGGGGAAAATCAATTTATTTATTTCATACAAAATACATAGTGTCTTCGTAAAATATCCCTTCAATTGTTCTTTATATGATTCATGTTTTTTTATAATTTTGTTGTCACTACAATGGATCTTTGTTTTTATCCTTGTTATTTTTAACTCAATCTCCTGCTAACAGATATCCCACTTGTGATTAGTGTTACATACCACTTATATCTGTCAGCATAAGTGACAAACACGATATTCATAAATTAAACTTAGAAAACATGATCATTTCAATTATTTCTGAAGTGATTAATGTAATGGAATGTAAATATATAGAGAGAGATTATTCAATTTCAATTAAGTTTTTTTATCATAGACTGATACCATTAAAGATGAATTGAAAATTAGCATATTGGATTTTTGAAAAAAATTATTTATTTTGTAATTTAGTAATCAGTTTCAGTAGTATTTGACAAACTAGTAGAAGTATACAGGATAAATAAAAATAAAAATAATAAATCAGTGCAGTTGATTAAGTTATGTTTATACATAAAATATTATTCATCATTAAAGAAAAAGTTTATTGAAATCTTCTTATCATTGAAAAATAATTTGATTTTTCTGAAGTCTATCTATTACTTCTGAAGTAATCTGAACACATACAACAATGTTTCATCAAATATATCAGGAAATTGTAATTATGTATATGAATACAGGAAGAATTTTAGAAAAAAAAAGTGGAAGATATCAAACATCCTAGACGTGTACAACTACTTTATTGGAACACATTAATATGAATGACATGAAAATGTCTCTGTTCTTAAAAAATCTTTATCAACATTTGTATCTACGACTGGTCATAAGATGAAGCATCTCATGTTTTACAGCTAAACTTAATCAACTCAGCGATTTGTTTATATAGTGATTTTAAATATGCATTTTGATGTATGACCAATATATGTTACTAACTGACGACAGAAGAACAATCATTGGTTACAGAAAAATTACGAAACACTTTTTCTAGTTTGGGATTATTCAATAGTATGCACCAGTGACCTCATATTGAATAAAACATAAAGCTTAAAAATCTTGAAACAAATATTAAATTTTGGTCAATAAGATGAAAGTCAACATCCTACACTTACAAGTTCAGTATATTTATGGTATATTGGTATTATTCCCGATGACACAGAGATTTTCGGTCTGTGATTACTTCAAAACCTATAGCATTCTTCTACCTTTTACTTCTAAACATTAAAACATTATATTACACTTAATAATCAATCATAGTATGTCCATTCAAATCTATTACTCTTTATTCATAACTTTTGTACTTTTAACATGTAACCTAATTATCAATTCATTAATGCTCATCAAAATTAGCTCAATATTAAAGTGTAAGGTATAAATTTACGGTTATCTTATATTCTAACATTTACATTCATTTCAATATTTCCGTGTATTCAGTAGTAAATTAATTCAAATGAATACATCAAATTAGTTGTTAATTTAGTTAAAATTTATTCCTGATTTCTTTCCTGTCAAACAAACAACAATAATGTTAAAAAAGGAGTAAAAGTTCTATGTAAATTTTAAAAGTATTACGCTCAATAGAAAATCGATATATATGTGTATTAGAACTCAAAATATCAGATATAGTAGAAACCAACTTAAAGCAGTGACCACTGGAGTCTAACTGAGTCTATTGTGAGACAGTAACTTACTGAAGACAATGGTGGACATGTGACTCAATTTCAAGGAATGGTTGAAGTTAGACATTAACACCGTGGGTTGCCGACTCAGTAGTCTAGAGGTTAAGCGTTCGCGCGTGAGACCGATAGGTTCTGGGTTCGGAACTCGCGGGGGCAGGATCGTGAATGCGCACTGCTGAGGAGTCCCATACTAGGACGAAACGGCCGTTCAGTGCATGCAGGTTTTCCATGGTGTTCTAGCTTCAATTGACTCATGATCTCAATCATTAAATTACTATAATATCCACAAAAGCTCCTTCCTGATATTAAATATAATATTTTCTGTTTATGGATAAACGATTTGGTTGAAAATTAACCTTTTGAAAGTTAGTTTCTTGAGATTATTGCAACAGAGCCTATGGTTTCATGGCATCAGTCTTATTTTTTACTGCTTTCATTGTAATGCTTTGCTTCGCTTTTATTTAAAGTACATTGTCAATGTAACACTATTTAGAAGACAACATTTTCTTATCTATTGATGTAACGTCTCACTATTACTTTTAGTAATTTTTTATATGAAATTGTTAGCACCTGTCACAACTAATCTAGTTCTTTTTATTCGAAGATCGAGCTCTCTATGTATTGAGAACTTGTACATTTCTATAATAAATTGCTAGTAAACTTTATTTTTAATAAAAATCATGCCAACTTTCAACTTTTATCTTATCGTAAATATCATTTACCGAGAGCTATCTTATGAAATCTCATCTTAAAGCCAAAGTAAATAAATTTATATAAACATCACATTTCAACATGAGATCAGTTGATGCTCAAACTACTGATTCGATTCATCTGTTTGTCGTATTGGGGTAAGTGGAATCAAACCTTTGAGATGATGGTGAAGATTTGTAGCTTAGGTGGAAGATTGTGCTTATGATGTCGTTCAGAAGAACGATCAAAGATCCACGACCAAACCATCCATCTAAGATAACAAATCTCCATCTGAATCAAATCTAACAGATAGATACATCTTACTGAAAAGTGCCGACTAGCCCAAAACCTAGGGTCAGGGTTTCTCCTTGATGTTCTTACAAATAAGTTTCTAAAGTTTTCATTGGTTATTTTGAAGGAAATTAGTCTAAAGTATGAAATCTTCTATAATCTTTAATCTATCTTTATAATTATTTATGCAAAGCAATTTATTCTATTTTCTTAATTACAGGAAAACGGTATGCCACGTGTAATCCATACGTCATATAGCCGTAATTTTCCACTGCATACTAGTCGTTTGGGTTCAGTGCCACCGTCAGCAGTTGGAACATATCGTTCAACAATAACTAGTACAGATTATGGATTGCCACCTGTTGTACATCGAAATTACAGAACGAATCGGTATATTTATGAAACACCATATTATACAACAACATATGTAAGTAGTTCATACTTTGTATGATCATAGTAACTAAATGTACTCTTTTACCCATGCTTATAATACTACTGTACATCATGTCTTTTAGCATGTACCATCCAATTATTTCGTTAGAAAAGTTTTGATAGTTTTTATGTTATTAATTTAACCTGGTTAGTGAATTGATTCAAAATATAAAACACCATATAAATCAATTAACCACAATGTGAATACAAACATTAGAAGATAAAGCACTTTGAAAATTTTAAACCCAGAAACTCCAGAAATGTAAATTTACAGTTCCATAATACGTATTACTGTGTTTTACTTTTCTCTCTTACATAGCTTTATATCATCATTTATGTTTTTACAACTACTCAATAAACAAGCGTTGTGGACATTATCATCTAAACGGATTTCTTTAAAATTCCAACTATTCACAAAGAAATTACTTTATATCAAATACCTTAGAAACGCTTTTAAATTAACCAGTTATTTTTAATAGTGACTAGTAAATAAAAGTATTTTATCACCATTGAAAAGGTTATACAAAAAAATGGCATCAATATATATATATATATATATATATATATATACCTATGAGTTATACATAAAAGAGGAATTTCTATATTAGTGATATTCTTTGATATTTTGATCAAAAACACTAAACCTATAAGTGCCACATTTTAAGACAGGTTACTGTTAACTTTGAAAGGTTACAAAACCAATCAATCTATGTAAAAATATTTTTAATTTCGTAGGTTATAAAAGTATTTCCTGACTTGTTGATGATACTTATAGGTTCACTGATAATGTTTATTGATATTACTTATCAGAAATAATCATATATCATCAAGATCAAAACATTTAGATTTCATGTTGATTATAGCGTTACTATAACTAGACAAGTAAAACAAAACAATGTTGTTATTAACAGTTAGAATGCACCATTGATATATTACTGAAATATAAGCCAAAACAATTCACTTCATTATTTTTCTCATCAGGTTCGACATTAACAAATTTATTAAGATTTTAATATAATAGCTATTCTTGAGGTATTACACATTAACCCATATAATCCCACCACTGAGAGATTTAATCTGACATTTTACTGGTCACTGTAATAAAATGTGTATGGACTTGTGTGTGTAGAATCTGAAGGTTAAGTTGTTAAAAAATAATTTTTAATCCAAGTGAATGTACCCCATATTATTAAAAGGTCAGTTAAGTCCTTAAAATTACAAAGAATGTTTTTATAATTACGACGTGAATGCCTTAATCAAACCACAGACAAGAACGTTTATCATGGTTAAAACACTTTATGACTACTTAAGAACTAGTGGTTCGTATCGATTCTGAAAAATGTGATGGACACATAGTATAAAGACGACTTTCATTAATTGTTAAAATGATTGAAACGAATTTGGTAAGTTACTAACAATACGAGAAACAGATTTTGTAACTTCACAATTTATGGGACGATGACAGTAATCTGTCAAAAGATAAACCGATTTTACATAATTAATATATTTATTGAAGTTTTCTACAGGATTTTCTGTTTACAAATTGGCAATTCAACAAATAAAATTGTCCAAATGATTACAAAACATCTTCTTGTTGAACCAGTATTAGAACTCGATTAGTTCTCTAAGAGTTCCTAATTGGAACTACGCTTAAGGTTTAAAGCTTGATTGTTTATTATATACTATCTAAACAAAAAGAAACGAGTATTCAATATGTTTAACACAATCATTTATTTATTCCAATGGTTAAGATTAAATAAAAAAAGGTTATTCAATATTAAATCCCGTGTAAAAAAGACAAAAGTCATTTTCTACATTCTAATTGTTTTCTCCATCTTTTTCTGCAAAAAAAGAAAAATAACATTTTACCATTGTACATTCACATTTGTCTAAATATTGTAATGCAACATTCCATAGATTTATTTCGACTTTATTTTTAATGTAAAAAAAAATAAAAAAGAATGAAATCGTGTTAGTTGTCATACGACAAAATTTTAAATGTCGTATGACATTTTAACTTGGTTTATTTCTAAATGTTTTTGCTTTAATGAATCCAAGTTAATTACTGAGTTGAAGAAGATTATCAATTTTCAAATAAATGTCATTTTGTTGATCAAATAACAAACAAAACACAATGATAACAGTCATATCTAACTTTTGATTATGCAAAAAAAGAAACCGAATTCTTACCTTGTAGATGCAATCACTGCTTGATTAATAGATATCGAAAGATAAAACAAATGAGCGAAAATTCCTTATTAGATCTAAGCAAACTAATACATCTATGTATATAAGATACTTTCAACACAAGTCATATTAAACTTTTTTTCATTTATGGAATAAGCACGTCCATGAAAATCAACCACGAATAAAATCTGATCATTATTCTTTATACTTCTCTTTCTCATCGATTCACAAAACATTCTATTCATAAAGCATCGTATTCAGATTTAAAGAATATCCAGTCTCTTATTCAGTCTCTTATTGTCACTGATCAAATGCAGTCCTAGACAACAATGAGAAGATACAAGCAAACAATATCAAGTGAATTTAAACTTCATTGCACAAGCAGGTAGCTATCAGGATTCAGTTGCTAGGTGTATAACGTGATGACTTTTGAAGCAAATGTTATTGGTTTCAAGTCCCAAAGTGAACATCGATTCTGGGATACAGGTACACCTAACTGACGAGTCTTGAATAGGATGGGACGAGCATCCTCGACTCCACTGCTAGTCACTACCCATCTTTCCTTGACATCCAACTGAATTCTATGAAAGCATACGGCGAATTCTAGAATAATTTTTTAGTTGTCAATTTACAAATTTTTTGACTTATATAATGTAGAATTTTAGAATAGTTACAATGATACTTTACAGTTCAACGTATATAGATACAGGAAAAATAAATAAATTATCAATGTAACCTTATTTTAAGTCGGAGTATATTTGTTGAAGTCCTAATTATTATTAGAATATTTCATCTGACTTTTCTTCAATCGTTTAGAGTAATGTTGAACCTATAAGAACTACTTATACAAGTATTGGACCTAGACGATATACATATTATTATCCATCAGTTGTTACTACAAGACCATTGTCGAGTTCAGGTTCGTATAGTAACTTGTCTAGTGATATGCAAGCTGAGCGTAGACGAATTGAAGTAAGTTTTCATTGATTATCTTGTTAATTTTTATTTTGTTTTTCATGAATACTGCAATAATGAAAACGTATGTGACTTTGAATACGTCTCAGTTTGTACATAATTTAATTCTCATAAGTTTGTGATAACTGATCACTTCTATTATGTTTTGATCAGTTGCTCAGTTATGTTATTTGAGAACTTTCCGGAACTTTACCTGTAAGCGTCTTACCTGTTATACTAGAATTAAGTGTAAAACAAAGTCATGGTATTTCAGCTTCTAATAATAAAATTTAATTTAGAGCACTTTGTAAAGAAGCCAAACAGTTTAAAACAAGACAGATGATTTATTTATTGAAATAAAACATTAGCCATTCATTCTGCTTAATTCAATATAATACATACCACAAAACAGTCAGTTATGTCGTATAAATATTTTGGCTATACATGAAATTATCATCATCTATAGGTCTTAGAGACTGAGAATTACAGTTTTGATAGAAATGCCTTGGTGAAATCATTCCAGAGGCGTACATTCAGTGCTTGAAATACACAACGTGTATATAATGAGGTTACCATGTTTGTTTTAAAACGTGTTGATTCAACTCTAAGAAGATTTATAGACAGAACACACTACATTTGACATTCTTTCACATAACCAGTGTCATAAACGATATATGTTACAAAATTTACAAGTATTTTTGTGCTATCTTTTCTTCTATAACACCTTTATTTTACATAATTACCATTAGTTTTGTACTTTTCTAAATATGCTAAAAACACTATCATTGTTTAACAAAGATTTTTTAAAATAAATTTTGCTCCAAATGACCTTTAAAAACTTAGATTTATCAGATAAGACATTGATCAATATAATGTAGATCTTGAACCCATTGTAGCTATTTCAAATAAAGTCAAATAAATTACTATAACTCAATAAAGATTTGTTGAGGTGGGGGGAACAACAACAGATTCTATTCTCAGAAGGAGTTTTGTGGAGATTGTAGTAATTTTATTAGTTAAAATTATGAGTCAATTTAAGCTGGAACACCAAGGAAAACCCGGAAGCACTGGACGGCCGTTTAGTCCTAGTATGGGACTGCTCAGCAGTGTACATCCACGATCCTGCCCCTGCGAGATCCGAACCCAGGACCTATCAGTCTCGAGCGCAGGCGCTTAACCACTATACCACTGAGCTGACCGACATCTAACAGTGTTAATGTCTAACTTCAACCAATCAACGAATTCGCACCACCGTTACCACTGTTTTCAGTGAGCTGATATTTCTTAAAAGACCTGATTGAACTCTATTGGTCACGGCTTCCAGGTTTTCCATGGTGGTCTAGCTTTAATAGACTCATGATTTCAACTATTGAGATTCTATTCTAAAAAAATTTTTACAACATAACTTATACGTTCACATCTAAATAGTTGAACTTCGAAAGCTTGAAAAAAATAAAGTCACATTTTTTTCAATTTCTTTTACTGAATAGTTAGAATCGGTCATAAAACATTATGGTTAATTTTAAATACAGAAATTACATCACACAATTTAACGGTAGTAAAAATGTCATAAATTGATTATACAATGAATACTTTTTGATTAAAGGATATAAATATCATTATCCTTTCAATATAAGAGTAATGAAAACAAAAGAAATGAATAAAATACATTCTAATGAAGATAGTAAATTGTTTGTACGACTATTACGTCATAATTTTAGCACTGAATCGAATAACTTGTCAGATGTTCAATTACTTTAAGAGTAAATGCTGCAATGATAAATGAATATAGTAATATTTGGTAAAACATAAAGATAATAACTTAATGTTTGAATTTAGATAATATCAACATGAATGACCCAGTACATTGAAAAACACTTGTATTATATATGAAAGCCTTTACAAAGCATTGGGCTTAATATTCGATACTTATAGTTACATTGAAACTCAAATATTGAATTTTAAGTTTAATTTAACAAATAGTAAATCTACAGAAAACAGAAAAATTGTGTTTATCAACACTGAAATTAATATTTCTATCTGGTACTTAGTTTAGGCAATGCTTCCATTCTGTAGCGTCTCTAGAAATTGAAAATATATTATTAATCCTTTACGTAAGGGCAGACTATATTTGGCGAAATCTTATAAACATGGATGCGGATTCTAATTTCAGTTAGCATAATCTTTATATTGGATGATCTCAAATATTTTCCTGAAATTCTTTGTAAAACACTTTCTTTATTGAATAAATAGATTTCCATTTCTCATTCAAAGTGATATACTATTAACTTTCATAGGCACATATGAAAAATCTATTAAAAACATAACTTCTGTTAGATTTCTTTTTAAAGAAACACTATAAGTATATATAGTTGATAACTTCTTGTATCCTTGCGTTTCAACATTATTTGAAAACACTTCCCATTTTTATCAAAACTAACTAATCATCCAATTAGTTGAAAACTGTTATCCCTAAAATGTTATGGTAGCAAAGTTTTGTTTGTAGTAATTATTACACTTCAGAAACACATATCCCTAATTTTAAAGATACACAATCAAACACATTCAACAAAGTATAATAATGATCAGCTGGGTAATGACACCAATAAGTATAGCTAAAAGACATATCTGAGGTTGAAGCCAGTGCATTATGTAAGTACTAATTCTACAATAATTTTTTAAAACCCATCAGTTGATCCTCTACCAGCTGGACAATGTTTGAATATATTTCGCATTTAATATATATCCACAAACTGTTCTGTTACCTTTGAAAATTTGTGGTTCAAGATTACTTACTTGATCTGTTTCCTTACTTACATGACTGACTTTTACCAAGCTTAAATGTTATATTTTCAATAAATCTCATAATTGATTCTTTATGAATTCACCAATGTTTTGAGAATAGTCATACAGAATTTATTCAATATCAACTAACATACAAATATCTCTATATGAAGTTTCATAGAAAATGTGTTCATCCGGAAAACACTAAATGTTAAAACGAGCACACTTTTGCTTAACCATTTTCTTACAATGCATTTCAAACCATATATAACGCACTAGTTAATAGTTTATGTATATCTATTAGCATCTCTGGATTGAAATGACCCATAACATATTCTTTATCTAGAAATAGGTATTTGATTGATAATTCGTTATTTTCAATGTCCTGTTTTTTTCAAAAAGCGCTCGGTTTGAATTTTGATAAACTTTTCATGTATTATATAATCAGTTTCATAATTTACTTATGTTTAATTATCTGTTGAATGATTCAACAAACATTCAATATCTCTTCTTTGTTGGTTGGCATCTGATCAAGTGTGTAAGTTCATATGCAAACTAAAATGTATTTCAATTCATAAATGAAGTCTAGTTTTAATTCTGTTTTTAAAATCTTTCCTACCGATATCTAAAATTTGATATAAAATGAATTAAACTAATAGTAATAATTAAGAGGTAGTTATTATTGAATCCTGATCGTTTGAATTTATTTTCATGAGATTCATTAGACTGTACAATTATTCATAGGTTTCATAATGTTTGCAATATTTAACAAAATGACTTAGATGAAACGTATCTTGTGAAGCGAGTCGATTTTACACGATTGTTGAATATTTCTTTAAGCCGTAATATTTAATCATGAATGTTTGGTTATTGGAGATGAATTACTTATCAGATTTAGTCTCATTTTTAAAAAAACGAGGATTTTCTATATTATACAAATGTTTAAGAGAATGTTGCGCTGATTTCAAAGTTCAGAAGACACTAAATAAATATCATTTCTACATAGTACTCAAAAACTACTTCATTAAAGAAGAAATCATGGTATTTACATTGTAACACCAACTGAACATCTGAATAAACTATATCTGAATGATAAAGCTAATAAACATAAGATCAGTACTGCGAACATTTAATTCAAAACATTCTTTAGCAAGTATGAAGTAAGACAAGACACTCCAATGAATGTTTATTTCAACTGTGCTAAAGATATAAGCCATTCAAATAAATAAGAATATATGTCATAAATATCCATTCAACTTGTTTGAAAAAATATAACCAATATAAACACAGATTGCATTATTCATTCTAACTGTAAATTTTACTCAGGCATCTTATTCAGATCCGTTTTGATGTGTTGAAAAAAAACATCTTGTTTGTTTATGTTAAACAGACAGGATAGTAGTTCACTTAATGTTTTCTAATATTCACCAACTGTTAGACCTTATTTCTTTCTGTTACTATTCTAGATTATATCCTTTAAAGATGAGAATCACACATGACTGTGAAACATTAAAAATTCATTTGTCTACCCAGTTGGTTATTACTAATAACAAAAATTACCTGATTTGACAGTAGTAATTATTATCAATGTATAATTTTAATTTACACAAATCCGATTTGAATTAAAACATTCAATTTCACTGAAACTATTTGAATTGGTCATCAGCATGAGTTTGTTTCGTTTATAGATTAAGAAACTGCGTGAATACTTTGTTATATCACTTGCTTATTCATAGGCTGCAACATGGACATTAATTACACAACCAATATGTAGACTGATGCTTATCGACTATTTTTTATTTTATTTTATTTAAACACATAAATATTGGGACAAGGGGGCACCAAATATATATGCGCCACACTTTTGTGTGTAGGCTGAGATACTGCCCGGGTGCCCAGACCGAAGCAGGTGGTTTTCTTAGGGGGCCACACCCCGAGCCTTCGACCAAAAGGTCTAGTCCACAAGGCAGTGGAGCATCGTGAGGAGATGCAGTACCATGGAAGCCGGTGACCAACGATTGGTTCATACGCCATTTTTTCCTTCAGGATACTAGAGCCCATGTGCACCATTGATTTGGGATCCGGTTATAGCGCCGGAAATTCGCTTTTCGTCCTCTCATTTTCGTAAACAACACCCCCGCCACGAGAAGGCAGTGAGTAGGACTTCCCTGGCAGAGGCTATATACGCGTGGCCGTGTGAAAGTATTTCGAGAGGGAGGGCGAACCCACCCCACTCATGGCCATACCAGGGCATTTGAGGGCTTATCGACTAGATTAATTTGATTTGTTACCAATTTTTTTAAATTTTACAGTGTACATTTTTCCTGTATTCTAATATATAAACTAATATACACTATTTTTATGTCAAAAATAAGTTTTAAAATATTTTCATAATTGTACACCGTATATATGTAATTTCACGCTATTCAATAGCGTCGTATGGACGATTTACTGGAATACAAATTGCCCTCACCTGAATACTACAGGGAAATGAGGGGATCCCTACGTGCATTGAATGACAAACTAGATGTTCATCGGAAAATGCTTGATCGTTACTCCGGAATTGATATGAACGCTACAACTGCATCAGTACAAGACCGAATTGAATCAAAATATCAACAACTTGCAAGCAGGTTCGTTGAGTGGACAGATATTTGAATTTGGTATCTTCTAACAAACGACTTATCTAACAAAATTTTATTGCTATTTACTTTTTTTCATGTACTGTTATATGAATGCTATACATAGAGTAGTTTTATATGATGGGTGTGTAAATACCTCCTATAATTTATTCTTTTGTGCGAATGTGTTAACATTCTATCTAAAAAATGAGTTGATGTAAAAGTTATAAAAGGTGTAAAATATATTTCAGTCTAGTTCATGATACGATTATAGAGCCAGTGTTAATTATTTAAACGTTTCCAATGATTAGTTCCTGAAATCAATTATGGATTGATAAACATTACATTGTCACACTAACCTACTTCACAAAGAGGATCATATTTAATTTATTGAAGAATTTCACTATACTTCATATAAATATGGACATATATACCAGTTTCATAAAATTTATTTAAGAGGAAACAATTCAATTTAAGATCTAAAAAATGGGAAACAATAGATGTGATCAGTTATCTAGCTCCAAAGTTACTGACTCATTCATCATAATAAAAAATTTCAGTAGTCATTGCTATCGTATTTAAGCATTACTCCCTTAGTTCGATTTCCTTTTTTTAATTAGTACTATTAGTTTTATTTAAGCGAACCAGTTTTATTTATTAATATTGAACATGTACATCTCTTGAATTTAAAATTACTTTAACTTCAAATATTTTGATGCTTTAAACATTACTCTATCTAAAAATATTAAAGATTGTTTTCTGTTATGTTTCCACATTTCTGAAGGACTAGAAATGATTTTACATTGGTGGTTAACGGATGATAATATATTGTGATCTTGACAATAGGACAAATCAAAATGAAATGAGGGTTTGTAATTCTGGTTAAGAAATATTTTAGGTTTTTATAATGGATCAGATAATAAACTTCAACATTACAGAAAATTTAACATAGTACTAAACCATCGTTATGGTTAACGTAAAAATTTCAAGAAAAATTTAATCTGCTAATAGTGTATTAGAAATATTTGATAATGATAATATAGTTGAAGAGTGTTAATATAGTCTTTCTCAAACATTTAGATAGTGTATGACAAGAAGATATGATGTTTCAGAACCATGTGGCATACATGTATCATCTCAGTTCATTCTGTGCAATCTGATTACGCAACAAATTGTTTGAATATCTAATTAAGGAAGATAGAACTCAGATGAAATGCGAAATAAGAACATCTAGAACAATGAAGAAAAGTAAAACGACTCATAATAATTAATGTAAAATAGTCAAAACCAATGACACAAAATTAGATTTAGTACAAGGACAAGCTATCTGAGATTACGCATTGTAGCAGGCTTAAATTTTTGTGTAGATAACGCTTTGACAAATTTAACTATCGACATTATAACACTTAAGTGCATTCTTGCACAGGCTGTTTGTAGATCAATCCTATGACTTTTATTATCACTATTCCGCTAATAAATCAAACAGTTTTGTTAACTAAAATCTTTCTATTACTGTATCCAATTCAACATACTTGAATTATTAAATATAAAGTATAGAATTCTGATTTACGATGTCAAACTCGAGCTGAATAATTTAAAATCTCCAAAGAAAAGGTGTTCTTTGAGCTAGTTGGTTTAGCCATGAATCTTTCAAGTATTAGGCAATTCCTCTAAGAAGTAGGCATTTACAAGTGAATAATTAAGTTTTCTCCATAAGTATCTATTCCAATATTTTTTGTCATAGAAAGGATAATGGAAGCTTCACAAATAAACCACCCAGCTGAGAGAATACAACTTCATACTATTTACCTTAACTACTTGGCACTCGTCAGTAAGGTGTCTCTGTAATCTTGAGGGAACTTATGATCTCTGACGGATTCAATCCCGTGTCGCACAGCTTGAAAATCAGAGACGTTATCTCTGAGCTATCCAGGTAGCGAGTGATCTCCTGTAGGACTGAGATGTATTTAAAATTGATTGATCACCAGGTAATGATCAGTGTCATGTATGTCAGGTTCTTCTTAGTGCACGAAACTCAGGTCTAGGGTTCACGCAATGTCGAGTCAGCTAGACTGGTGGCCACATTCCGACTTAGTCGATAGAATTCAATCTGGACTAAGAAGGACCTGGCATACATGACATTGATCACCAGCCAGTGATCAATAAACTGTGAATTTCTATCCTTACCTACAAATATTTTTAGTCATCTGGTACTTAAAAAACTCCAAAATATAAATTAGTAATTTATTGTTAAGTTAATAAGTAAATTCAGTTTTGAAAGACGAACTATTAAATTTTATGAATATGAAAATATATCCGACTGGAAGTAATTGGTTAAAAAGAAAGCTTAAATGGCATTCATTCGTAAATCAGAACTGATAAACTATTTATCAGCAGGGAGTTTTACTCCAACTGAGGAGAAAAACAACAATTGTTATGATGATGATTCGCCAGTTTTTCAAATAGGATTTATAATAACAAACTATCATCAATTCGCTAAACGTCGTCATTCAGACACTAAATCAAAACAATATATCAAGTTTCTTAATACTACTGATAAATAATATTGTAAATATTATCCATCAGAAGATTATTAATAGTCTGTTACGTCAAACAAGATTAGCCATCCAATTTTGTTTTTTTATACTATACTAATTTATAACAAGTTCATAAATAATTATTTTAGAGGAAAAATTCAATTCTGAGAGTAAAATGTCAGTAGATCTACACGAATTTAGTTTTAGTAATATATTTTGTTTATTACTGATTTTCACTTCAGTACATTCAGAAAGGTGAATTATTCGACCATGTTTTTATTTTGATGAGAAACTAGTTGTATAGTGGCAACTGTTCATACAAATAACGTTTATATATTGCGTATATTTGAACACAAATTTCATCAAGACTGAATAGCTCAAGAATAACTGAGAACCGATAAACCAGAACAGTTTTTGTATCAAGTTAGGATTTTCCAAAAGTACACGTCTAAAATTCCACACGGAATCAAACGCATGATATACAGGTTCTATGATAATCATGATAAGTTTAAGTCACTGGTAAGTAATTCAATATTTTTGAATTAAGTCCTCTACAACCCACAGTCAATATCGTGTCTGGTTTAAGACTTCTTGAAAGATTGTATATGTTAAAAGACCCTTTATTAAGACTAAAGAAATAATAAGTTGGAAAGAAATAAATTGAACAAGTTATTCAAAAATTAGGTTTATAAATATGACCACAACTCATTTATTCATAGTACTAACGTATTTTAATAAGATTAACAACAACAAAAAAAAGCAGTGTACTAACACGCTTCTCTTCAATAGAATGGGCCGTCGAACCACGTGAGTTTTGCATATGACTAGCTGAAAATTTGAAAAGAACCGCTGCTAATTTTGATTCATGAAAAAAAGGATGAGCATGATGTTACTGCTTAAAATGTTTATTTTTCAACGAAGTATGCTTTGAAAGATATTTATGTCACATCTTTACTGCAAAATAAAGTGTATATGAATTCACATAGTTTCTCTTATGAACATAATGCACAAATTTTAGTTGAATACAAATTCTATGAAAAAAGAAATACAGAAGAAAAAAATCCTTCACTGTTTTGCTTATTTAATTGATTGTCTTTATTTCATTGGTAGCATTGAAAGTTTTCCAATAAATTTATTACTTTAGTTCTATGTTGACTGTGATTTGTTCATTAAATTTAGTTTATATTTTTGCATACTATCTATTAAATTTGAATCATACTGGGTTTTGTTTTTCTACCTGTATCTATGTAAAGCCTAGTGGCTACCTAAACTAAAGAAAGTATAATAGAGAATTTAAACTTACAACTTAATGGCTTGAATTCATTTACTTTAGTTATTAAATTACCTTTTCTAGAGTATGATTGATAATTATCGGCTTCAACGCATATATTTCTACATCAGTGATTTTACATATGAGTAGTATACTTAATAATAACAATTATATTAGGTATAAACTATAAGAATGCCACTTGAAGATGATATTTATCCCTAATTAAAAACGAACTAAAAACAATAAGAAGCTGTCTAATGGTATTTTTTTTACCGCTATTACTATAAATAGGAGAGATACTCTCAGTTATTACAATGGATTGTATTTTTACTAAGTTATTAATAAATAAATTTATTCAACGTAGCCAAGTAATGCCATTTTGTTCCTCATCTCCTTTAACCAATGAAAATTCATAAAATAAAGCATTAAAATAATTTAATAATAACTTATTGATTCTTGTTTGTTCTTTTTATCACATTTGTTTTTTCTCCTTTTTTTCAATTTCTCCTGCATGATATTGACAATTATACCGTTTGTTTCCATAAACTATATATGCTTACACATGTATATATATATTTAACCTTACGTTGAATTACGTAACTGTCTTTATAATATTAATATAACTAATTGTACCTTCCTCTATCATTGCTGTGAAATTATATATCACCGCAAAATTTATCGAATAATCGCTGACCTGTGCACTGTTATTGGCTCTGATACCATTTAAATTACTATGTAACAACTGTTCGCAATGCATGTAATATATATATGACTTCCTTGATGATAATTTTGGTCATATAAATCAATAAACAAATGGAGTATTTGTTCCATACTAGAATGCCAGAATTAAATGGATATAGATCACATGGACCAAGTCTGAGTACATCAGAGCTTGAGACAAATCTTTATTATACAAGTCCAAAGACAACGATGGTATATTCGGAAAGATAATAATAATAATAATAATAATAATTTGTGATTAATATTAGTTAGAGAGGGAATAGGTAGTTTACTACTAAAGCTAATAAGATACAGCTATGATATCTAGTTAACCTAAATAACCTACTGGAAGAAAATCATTGTTCTTATAGACAAAATATAATTTAAAAGCTGATACCTGTTAAATAATTAGTAATAGTACGATATATTTTGTAACCATGATATCAAAACTTTACTATTGTGTTGATTGTTTTAATAAAACGCTATTGAAAATGTATAACAATTCGATTGAATAGATTTGATGAAAAACTCATTTGTTTTATTTATTTAATTTTCATAATTATAAGTTAAAATTGGATTCATGTAATCAAACAATCGTAAATACATTGAAACATTGATATTTATGCATGAAACATGTATGTATTTTGCATGGGTACGATTTACTTTAACTCACAGTACTATTCAATCTTGTTTAGTCTTACATATGAACTGTTAGTTTTCATGATATATATATATATATATATATATATATATATATATATATTGTATTGAATAGACAACTATTGCTATTTGATGCATGAATGTATATTATAAATGTGCCTATGTTTTGGAAAAAGTGTAACCATTCAAATAATTTAACTGATATTATAGAAATTATTATAAATTTCTTGGAATGTTACTTATTTCATTAAATAAACTACATATAACATATACTCATATACAGATGTGTAGTTTAAAAGGAAAGTTTTACGGATATTACTTGCCATCTCATCATAATTGTTTAAAAGTAACAGTTATGAAAATGTTTTTACTTAGAAGTAATTTATTCAGTTCATAATATATATATTCAGTAATATAAAGGAATGTACATTATAATAGTTTATACAATAAGCCATATACATAAATCATATGCAAACTGTTACTTGACGTGATTTATAGTTACATAAAATACAATCAAGATAAGTAGTTAACAAGTAATCTATTAGGAAAAAATGAAGTTCTACAAAAACTTATGATAAGTGATAAGCATAATTATTGGGTGACTGAAATCACTAAACTTGTTAATAATAACTTTTTAAATGTAAGACGAAATTATTGATTTTCTTGTGTAAAATTTAATAATTCTGAAGCGAATGTATTCAGCTACAATTGCATTCACTAAAATGCATATTTACAAAAGCGACATCAGAACTAGAATATTAGTGAATATTGCTAATATTTACTATGAGCTAATAACAATTTTAAACTTATCCCTAGATATGAAATATAAGTATGCATGTAAGTAAAATATTTGTTATATCCAAAGTCTCCTATAATATGTTTGTATTTTATTTATAGGGCTATGGGAAGGGATTAGTGTATCCTGAAGGTAGTCAGACTTCTGAACTAAGGGGAAGAATTAAACGTCTTTTGTGTCGTTCCCGACGTGATCCTCATTATTATCGTTATCTACCAACAGGAGTCGTATAAATACTTCAATGAGACTATAATGAATCCATATACTTGGTGTTTGAAGTGATTATTACTATCATTAAATTTATGTTATATTATACCGCATGCTTATTCAAATTGATAATCCCTTGATTTCGTTCTTTGTTTTTATTACTCTTTCTGTTGAACTCCTATTCTGTCTTTTCTATTCTATATTATTCTTGTTATGATATTTCCTAGTTAATAATTTAATGAAGAAGAACAGTTTCAGCTTTTTCAGCAACACACGTTTATTCCCAAGTATATATATATATATATATATATATATATATATATATAATTCTTCAAACTATTAAGTAAAAAGAAATAATTAAATGCCAATTACATTTTCGTTTTCATAATAATTAAGAATCAAGTGAAACACCTTTATTTCGTAGATAGTAAAGGACCGTAAAAAAGAGAACTTCAAATAAACAAATTATGGTCTACAGTAGCTTTTATTTAATTTTAATATTGTTATCACCATTTCTATCTTTGTTCTTATGTTTCCCACCTAATGATTACATAATAAATATAATCTATTCTACTAAAGCTGTTACCATATTACTTCATTATGCCAATCACTTGAAGAAACAAAAAAATTAATTACTTACAATATGGTTTTAATATTTTTGTTCTTTTATCTAATCTTTTATTGAACTGTTTATTTATTATTTCAGTGTGACTTCAATTCTCAATGACGTGAATTTGAATGAGTTAGTAAAGAAGACGTGTAGTTTGGGTGGATGACAAAGGTGTTTTTTTTTGTTTGGTCGTGGAGCTTTCATTATTCGTCTGAACAACATCATCAGCATAAACTTCAGATAGAAGTGAAGTACTTGGATTTCTTCGCTGATGACTAACATCTTATCCTGTCGACCTCGATCGTGATTGGTTAATGTAGACATAACATGTCATTCTTCGCAACTTTATTTTGATTGTTTCTCGCCTTGATCTGATTCTTAGTCCCATATTTGTCAACAATTATTGTGATTGGGTGATAAGTTAGATCAATTCCAATGTTTGTTGATTGACTTGGTGGCCTAGCTTCTACAAATTCTCTGATGTTCTTAATACGCCCTCTATCCACGATTTCGAAATTTCCCCTTTATTTTCTCCTGAACGAACATCAAATAACAGTCAAACGCCATAAAGCATCATTGCTTATGTTAATGCATATGGACAATTTTGGACACACGTTCGGCTTGGAAAATATTGAAATCTATGATTTACAAAACACTAAAAACCCCGGAGTACTTCACTTCTATCTGAAGTTTATGATGATGATGTTGTTCAGAAGAATAATAAAAGCTCCACAACCAAATCATCTAGCTCAGAGAACAAAACACCTGAATTTTGTAAAAGAGCACAAAGAATGAAATATGAATTTTTCAACTAAGTCACTAATGATTTCATCTCATGTTGACAATGTATATTTATTAAATAAATGTCACCTGAATTCACCACATGTACCTTTAACAGTACAGTTTCAATATAAGAATTAGTGTTAGATGAGTTATTTACAAAATGCTTAAAAAGTAATTATCAATTTGATTGATAGACAAATAAAATGATTTAGAGATCTGTGGAGTTCAGTTTAGTTTGTAGATGGTCTCGTGCGCTAGAACGAAATATATATTCAGTATTTCCTGGTTCCTGCAGTTGTAATGTTTTCATCATTCATTTATTTTTATATAGTTTACTTTAACAGATATAAATAAAGTCGACGAAATTATGGAGTTAAAAAAGAATGAGAATTAAATCAATACTCCGACTAGGACTTACGGATAAATTATACCAATGAAGTTGCTAACGCGTCCCAACTAGCACGAAATCCAAATCCAAGACTTACGTACAGACATAAACAATGAGTGAGTTAGCAACTGGAGACAGCACTAACTATGGTATAGAAAACAGTTTCGTAACTCGAAATAAACTAGCACCATGGGTATTGACTTTAAGTGGTTAAACGATAAATCTTTGTAATTATTATATTCAAGGTGATGAGCATTATGAAAATAGCTAAACCTCATACCGATAAATTAGTTTTGGGAATAGATTATGAGCATACCGTTTTGGGTTTCCTACATGTCGTGTAAAACTGAATGTATAAATAATGAAGCTTCCCTACAACGCTCTATAATTCAGAAACATAAACCGTAAAACAACTTATATTTTACGGCAGGACTATTATAGACTAACGTGTGGTTAAAAAACATTTCGGAAACCGTTATTGATCTAATTTACTGCTTACAGTCAATATATGACAAAGGTGGTGAAGCAGTCAGTACAATTAGAAAGAAGGTATATGCTTTTCGTCTAAAACATTTAACTACTGACAATTTACTAGTAAGCAAATATGGATAGTGGCTAGGAGTGGAATCCAGGATGCGCTTTTCGCCCTATTTAGGACTCGTCAGCTGGATGTACCTGCATCTCGGAGTGAACATCAACTCTGGGATGCAGGTACATCCAGCTGACGAGTCCTAAATAGGGCGAAACGCGCATCCTGGATTCCACTCCTAGCCACTATCCATCTTTGCTTACGAAGCTTGTGACTTAAGGCGATATCGAGGCAGTCCGCACAGGATGTACATATGCCAACATGAGACTGATCAATTGCAGTCCTAAATAACAATGGGGAGATACAAGTAAAACAACACCAAGTGAATTTAATTCGCTATTAGTTCAATATATGCCGTACCTTTTCCGAATTATGACCTAAAAGATTAGGTTAACTTGTGGCGATTGTAGAATTTCCGTTTTATATACATATATATACATAGCTGGAAAGAAACTACAAATGAATTGAAAATTTTCACGATAATTGGTCAACTAAAAACCCCTATATGACCGCAGATTTAGTTTAAATCAGTTCAACTACGAACTTTCAAGTGGATGGGTTTCCCTGTCGAAATTATTACTAAACTCTAGATATCAATTTTTGATATTTTATTAAACTACAATATATTAAACGTTTAACACCGTACAAATGTAATTAACGAGTTAATATTATAATAGCGAAGTAACGTAAACAGTACTTTTAAGAATTAAACAAATGGTGAAGGGATGTTGATTTAGTTATGAATATTATCAGCAATTACTACTAAGTTTATTCTTACTAAGTGGAAGAATTGCTATCGATAATTTATTAAAAAGTGTGTTATAACTATGCTGAATCTTGTTTGGATGTCAGAAAAGTCAAACCATATATATTATACGATAGATTGGTGCCGTGGCTTAATGGTTAAGGTTTGACATTTAATCAGTGTATCATAGATTTGAGCCTCGATGTATCCACTTCGGTCCGGGCAACAGAGAATTTGACCTATCATAACACTTGATGTTTGAAGTTGAATTACGTAACCTCGTGTTGTTTAATAATTGAGTTTCAATAATTTGTCGACAGAACGAAAAAGGAAATTATACAATGATGTAATATACTTGTTACAAAAAAACAATACCTACAAAGTATATGGTGAAATTATTAATCAGTAAGCAGAGAAAAAAACACTTCAAAAGTATACAATAAATAAACATGTTTTACATATTGTTAACAGAAGATAAAATTGTACAAAAATTACAGCCAGAAAGTAATTAGCACGTTCACAGTGAATTATATAAATACTTAAAACAATATAATATATTCCACATGTGATAGGATATCTGACACTACTACTTTAAAGGTTGGATTGTTCTATAGATAGTAAATAAACGATGAGGTTACAAAGATTCAAGAAAAATTAGTCAAACTATTCACGATACGTTTAGCCAGATGAAAGAACTGGTGGATGAATATAGTTTTTATTTGGCACCGAACACTGTAAAAATGGGAGAAAAAGAAGAGACTGTATATAAAACAACATATTTTCAAAACGAAAAAGCATAGAAGCAAGGTTAATGGTAAGGTTGAATTTGAATGAATAAAAACAGAAAGTTTTCAAAGTGGTTGTATTGTAATGGAAAGACGAAAACTGAACATATTAAAAACAAATTCATATGAAATATGGCAGTCCTGAAATAACATTTTCCAGCATCACAGTATGAAAATTCGGTTAACCTAGCCGAAATAAGTCTGTTGTGTTAATTTTTAATTAAACGACAGCTTGACCGATATTATATTTAGATTTCAATGCTTCGAAATCCCAGATAATAAATATCTTCACATAAAATAATCATTTAATTTGTACGAGAATTAGATAAATTTATATAGATATATGTGCTATAACTATGTAAAGGATCCACAGGGAAATAAGGGTTATATTTCAATTTGCTATGTAGTATATATGATGTATGAACTACAGGACGAAATATTTATGTACATTGTAACTGACCTAATGACTAACAGAAACGATAAATAAATGTATAATAAGCTAATCTGCTTGGCGACCTACAATAACAATCACATTAAAGAATGGTAATCATTGGACTACTTTTAATTGAAATGCTAAAAATTAATACTCTTCACTGAATTTATCAGTATCAGAATAAACAAGGTAAGTCGCAAACGATGATAGTCCTGTCAATCCTGGACTTACATACAGTTATGTAATCAAAAAAAGCTAAACATTCATCATATCACACAAAAACAGACTAGATGCAAGCGGTTAGTGCACTTGCAACAAATAAAACATGTGAGATTGATATTGAACAAGTAAACTACCTGAAGAATGGCAACATGTGGATCATCCATATCACCCAAGTCAATGAAATCTCTTTCTGACGCTCTCATTTTGGCATTCTCAATTATATAATAGTATTTCGGTGAGGAAATGCCAAAACTCCATGCCAACTTTTCCCCACACCAATCAATAACACGCAACAGAATGTTGTTAGACTTAGACTAACAACAAAAACAAAAAAACAAAATCGCTCATAATCAAAGTTAAAAC